CCGGTGCTGATAAATTTCTCAAGGATTATCCCGTCGTCCTTCGCGAAATAGTTAGAAAGGAGAAGCAAGTACGCGGGGGGTAAGGGGAGGAGCAGAACGTCGCCACGTACCGACAGGGACTGTTCGAGGAAAAGAAGAAGCTGGCTTTGCTTGTACCTCGCCGAGACCGATCAACTGGCAAAATCATTTTCAACCGCTCTCGCACGTCTCTAGAAATTTCCGTCTTCGTAAAATTAAAGCAGCAGAGAATCTTCGCCGCCGTGTCGCACGGTGTTTGGTCCTGCACAGGAATTTTGGACAGAATTAGCTAAAAATAGCTAAACTACAATGGTGTGCATTATTATATTTTATTAGTATACATATATATTATTATATTATATATTATATATATATAATTATAATAAATATATATATATATATATATTATTTTTGTATTATATTATATGTATATATTAGTATATATTATTATATTTTATTAGTATAATACTGTTTTCTATTATTTCTAATGTAGAAATATACAAATGTGATGATTTTTTGATCAGTTTTCGTAAATATACAATAATTATGAACTCAAACAATGGTGTGCATTATTATATTTTATTAGTATATATATTATTATATATTATTATATTATATATTATATATATATATAATTATAATATTATATATAATAATATATATATTATTTTTGTATTATATTATATTTTATTTGTATATTTCTGTTTTCTATTATTTCTAATGTAGGAATATACAAATGTGATGATTTTTTGATCAGTTTTCGTAAATATACAATAATTACGAACTCAAAGTAACTTTTACATCATTACTGATATTTAAACGAATACCAAAACAAAATTGTACACGCCTATTTTATGCAAATAATATTAACGTTTTTTTAGTAGGGGGAGACCGGGGCTCGAAGTTCAGATTTTGAGAGAACATAAAAATTGACTGAGAAATTAATAACTATTTTCGTTTCTAATTTATTGTTAAATTTATGCCACATTAAAATTCTCAACTCAGATTTAATATATTACAATGAGTTTTTCATAGAAACACGTTTTTTTTTTGCTCAACTCAAGCGGAATTTCTCACCCCATCGTGGGGCAAGTTGTTAACGCTCTGGAGTAAGTTGTTACTAAGAAATAAATGTTACTTTCTAACGAGATATTTCATTCTCGGATGAAATGAAACACAATTTTATCGATGAAGTTTGTTTGTTAACCCTTTGCACTCGAAGCCATATTAACTGGAAAATTTAAATTAACCTTTTTGACTTATGGTATTTCCATTTTATATGACAAACCGCATTTTACGCATATGAAATTGAGTCTTGTGACTCATACAACAGTTAGACTTTTAACAATTCTTTATACCTAAGCTTTGATATTATAAAAATTATCTTGGGACGTAGCGTAACAATTTTTTTTAGTGGTGTCTCACCACTCGAGTGCAAAGGGTTAACTTTGGATTAACAGAAATACGGATATATTTTTGGAAGAAAAAATATACTATCCTTGGCACAAATTTTAATGTAGTAAAATGAAAATAATAATTTAATATTATGAGAATTTAGGAACAACTTTACTTAAACCTGATAGAAATAACCTCTAAAACGATAAATACTGGATATCGTCGAACGGCTTTGTCAGAATCACAGTTCGGACAAATATACGTTATATTGTTATACATTATTGTTATACATTATTATTGTTACACATTCGCATGCTAAAACATAGCAAGAACTGTTTGTACATTTGGAGCGGGCGGTAACAATATGCCTCGAGTAATAAATAATAAATAATAAATAATAAAAACAATATACCACAAGTCATTGACATGTGTGGCAATGTATAAAAATATTTTGTTTATACATTCAAATATTCTAACAAATGCTATCACAACATGTTCTTAAATGTTATTTGATTTACAAGAACACAGCACAATAGACGATATTGACATTAAATAATTGAATTAGACAAAAATATAGTGACTGCGAAATATTTACTTACCTGATATGTGATTACTATCTTGTCTGAAACTACACAATTCGCTGTCGCGGACGCTACCAAAATGGTCGACGGTGTAACATGATCCGTTCACGCTTTCAAAACGATTGTGAAAGCATAACGCGATTCTATTTTATTTGAAATATATTATTACCATCGGAAAATGTATTGTCATCATAAATATTATTATATTTATATTATTATAAAATATATTATTATATTTATATTATTATAAAATATATTATTATATTTATATTATTATAAAATATATTATTATCCTCGCCGAAAATTGTATGCCATATTATCAAAAGCAAATTAGTTGTATCGTCGTCGTTCGAACCATATATTTAGGTGTCCATCTTGGCAAACAACGAGACACCCGGTAGATTACTATTCGCAGTTGGTCATTAATCTTGATACAAAATTAAGGCGAAAACCTAGCGATCACGGTACACGTTCTCACGGTGACGTTGCTCGGGTTAATTTTCATGAACAATCCATCCGTTACCTGTCGGTTAGCATTTTATAACGAAGTAAACAACCGGAATGAGGTCGCGCGGCGCAAGTACGGAACATAGTGATCGCGTTGGTAATAAAAGTTCCCTAGTACGTCGCTATAAATCACCGCTGCAAAGCCGCGTCCGATGCGAGACGCAGCCTTGTCTTATCCAGCTGTGAGTCCTAGACGCGCGGCGGCGTTATTCTGTCTTCGGATTGGATAGAAGGCAACGCTGTAAATATTCCAACACCGCCATTAGCTCAACAAAAACACGGAGCGCGCAATTATTCTGTCAAATAATCGCGAAGTTCGGCGAACGATCGTAGCGCATAAATATAAATATATATTTATGTTATATAATATATATAATATATATTATGTTATATAATATGTTATATAATATATATAATATATATTATGCTATATAAATATATATTTAATATATAAATATTCATCTGACTATGGGTTTGATAATAATAGAAATATTTTAATTACTCAACTGTGATTTTAACGAGATTTTTCGAGATATTTTCACATATTTTCTTTTACTTATTAAATATATATTTAAATTAACGAGATCATTTATATAGTTTAAGAAACCGTTTAGATTCTTAGATCAACTGTGTTTTAAATGTACTA